GATCACACAGACTTTATTTCTGCTTAATTTTTCACAAAAAAGTGTATTAATTTTTCCATTGAAGTTCTTTTCCTGCCACCATTTTGAAGATATGAATAAAAGCAAGGACAAAATCAAGTCACACTTCTGGTTAATCAAATATTGACTTTTCTGCAAGTGTTTGTCATTTAATTTAAAATTATCTGACTGACATTTCAACTAAGATATTTGTAACATACTTGTTGATAACACAAATATAAAAGCATCATCTACATGTAAAAAAAAAAAACAAGAAAAAAACCCTAAAAATAATGGAATAAAAACAAAAAAACAACCCTCAATAATATCAACTATGAACATGGACACAATATCTTGACCATATTTTGAAAATGAAAACATTATTTAAATACATACATACAACAATCTATTTCTTGTTAACAGTTAACATTTCAACCTTGAAAATGGCTAAATGTACAGCCGAAAGTGCTTAGAAAAAAAAGAACAATTGAACAGTTTTTACATAATTTATCTACTGAAAAGAAAAATATTATAAGATCACATGAGAAATTGTATAATAAACTAGATCAAAGCTCCTTGTCTGTCATATTCAATGAAACACACACATATATATATATATATATATATATTGTGTGTGAGAGAGAGAGAAGAGATTATTTGTTTTAATCATGGATTCTTAAATGGAAGACATTTGGCTCCCAGGAAAAGAATTTAAAAATCTAAAGGGAGGAATTGAGTAGAAATTTCAATTCTACATCATAAGTATAATTGTAAAAAAAAAACATTGCATGATAACAATTAAAAATGGTGGAGAAACTGAGAAAATTTAAGATTGGAAGGTGAGGGGTTGTGACTCATAACTCAGATAAGCACTGATTTAAATGCAACCTTCAAACCCTTTTTATCTTTGTTACCTGGAACTATCTCAGATAAATGTATCTATTATATCTCGTTTAATGAAGGTGTTTTATTTTGTTTAACTTTTGTTCTGTTAGTGACAGATATTTTTATTAATAGATTTAAAATGAGTAAATTAAAAAGAAATGTTAATTCTTATTAAAATATTTCATTTAGTCATTGTGAAAGGTAACCATGTAGCCCACATGACTACAGACACACATATACACATTTAAACAAAATGTCATTTATTAACTTTCACTGTCAGATATAATGAATTATTTATATAAACTTACGTCTAATACTTGACCTTACATAGGTCATTCAGTCCACAGAAGAAAAAATATATAAATTTTGTAAACTTGCAGCACTTTGTGAACTTGATATAAATAAAATACATTGTCACTCAATATGTATATATATTGTAACTTGTGATGTAGATCATTAAATGCTAGAAAAGCCAAATTACCATCATTATCGGTGATATTATAGATAAAATATTTTGTTTCAATAAACTTGAAAATGTTTTGTCGCTGGGTGTTTCTTTGTTAAATTTTTTTGTGTTAAAATTTTCATTTTATGGTGAATTAAAGTTGTATTTTATTTATTTACTGACTTTGTAGTTGAGTTGTGTGGGTTACCCAATTTGGCTCCACTGAAAGTGCCTGTTGGGTGGTGCTATTTAAGTCTATAAAAAAGCAAACATATTCTCTCTCTTTTTTTCCACATGTAGTTCAACATAGAGAATGCTGCCACTAGGGTTCATTTCCTTAGTCCTCTGTTGACTGAATTCTCTCACATACACACATGTATATCACACATACACAAGCTCATTCTTATAGCTAGTTTTAATGTCTTTTCCTTTGATTTCCATTGTGCACACATGTAATTCTTTTTGTTAATAACATGCATTATCATTTGTTTTAAATTTCATGTTTTGTGTCACTTGTTTTACCTGGACTTACATGAGTCCACCAATATTGTTTGCAGGACAAATGTTCCAGAGCCCATAAATATTTACTATAAAATGTCCATACACTCATATAAAAAAATGTTGCTTCCTGCAACAGTTGTATTTATCAAGTAAGATCTCATTATCTGGAGTAGATAGATTCCCTGCAGATAGTGAAATATACAGATAATAGTGAATTATATCAATGTATTATTTACAATATTTTCCATCAGACTGGGTTTCAAACTGAAGCTTTTATTTAATTTGCAGGAAGTAGATTGTTCTCATTAAGCACGACAAGCATCAGCACTTTTATCAGCAAGTAGATTAGGTTTATGGCTCCAAGTTCTACACTCAGGATTGTCCCATGGGACAATAGCCAGTGCATTAAAACACTGATTCATGAATTTGGTGACATAGTAATTATAAATTCAGTCCCTGGACCAGAGAGTGCAGGCTTGGAAATGGCAAGCACTAGTAGTACTAAGCATGGTCAGCAAAACCAGAATGACTTATCCCTGTAGATTAAATAAAGGATTCAGTTCAACATTTTCTGAGGCAGCTGTTGAAAGCCAGTGGGCACAGTGGCCCAAATATTGTGATAATCACAAAGATGCAGACAATAGTCTGCATGTAAATAATTACTTATAATCTCAAAATAATTTTCATGCTTCCTAATCAAGAGTTAATTTTAAATAAAATTGTTTTATTACTTTTGAAATTGAGTTGTGTAATTTCTTTCTGAAGATAAATTTTTGTATATAATTTTTCAATACACTGAAGTGAGTGATTATTTTTTTAATTTCAGGTCACGGCACTTTCTTTTTCTTTTTTTTTATATGTAACTTTTGTGACAAACTTGACTAAATTTTAAGCAACTCCACTATTGATATCAGTGTGATTTTAAGAAAGTACAGAAAAATGTAAAATTGATCAAAAAGAGTTATTAAATATGTTACTTTATACTGTATTCAAGAATTCAACTAATTCTACTAGTTGCATTAAAATGTCAGGAAACTTGAATATTCATGTTTAATTTTTTGTTGTAAATTCTCAAGAACAAAAAACATGTATAAATTCATTTTTCATCATATATTTTGGTTTTATTATAATTCTAATCATTGCTTTTTAAAACAAACATTATTGAGGAGTGAAGGTAGTTAAAATAATAGTGGTGTCCAGGCAAAAACATCTTTTTGACACTATTTTTTTTGCAGGCATGACTGTTCAAGTTTGCGAAAATGTCATTCCTCTGTATTTATTAGACTCAAGCATAGATTTATTCATCTTGAGTACTAATTATTGTGTAAAATTTAAGCAATCTGAGTATTAGTCAAAATCCTAAGTTACTTATAAAAACAATCATGTAATTGGAAAATTTTTTTTTGTTTCTTAATCTTTATTAGAAATAAAATTGGTGAATTTAATTTAGATATCAGGATTAATTCAGTAAAATCATAGTTTGAATTCAAAATTAGAATCAAGTATTGTCAAAGCTTTTCATGTCCTCTTACTATGAGTATGTTTTATACTTGTAAAATCTTCTATTCCAAAAGATATAAACTGTTTTTTGTGACTTCAGATTACAATTTTGGTAATGTTTTTGTTATTTGCCCTAATATTATTTTTGTATTCAATTTTCAGTTTTTACAGGCAATCATCATTGAATAAAATATTTAGAGGTAGGACATATATGCATGGATTAAAAGGCATAGATCAAATTTATTTCAGGTGTTCTCAAAGTGAGTGTCACAACCTCCTCCACAAAGTCATGTAAAAATTTGGGGTGGTTGTGAATTCTCTATTTTTATTTTTTATATTCTAGTTTTAGGATCATTATTTACAGGTTAATTAATTTATTTTAATTTTTTTCAGCCAAAAAATAAAAATTTGTGATTGTACAATTAAAACATAAAAAAAATACACAAAGTTAATAATAACCATGCAAAAAAAATTATTTTAACAAAAGATTCAATCAAGGCTCTTGATTCAGAAAGTTTAAGAACTTTTTTTTTTTTTTTTTTAAATTTCACCCCAAACAAGACAATGAAGCAAAATACAAGGGGTCACTGGCAGTGAAACGGAATGAAAAAAAATTTAGTGAGGAGAAAGGACACTAAGAGAACAGGATTCAGGAAGACAGAGATTGGTCTTGCAGAGGCTGTTATGCTGTGTGACATGACCAAACCATGAAATTTTCTGATGCTTAATAGTGACTAGGAGAGATTCCTGTTGGCCTACAAGACTTTTTGCCTTTGCTCTGTACATAGTAATTGGTTTTGTACTCTCAGTAGGAGATGGAGAGGAGCTTTCTTAAGTATTTGTTCTCCAACACCTGGATCCTTTTTTCCTGCCTCAACCAGGAGTGCCCAAGTTTCACACCTGTAGAGGAGGATGTATATGACCAGTGATTTATAGAGCTAAATACCTTAGAGTTTCTAAAAAGTATCATGTTTTGTTACAACCCTTTCTCTATTTTCAATGGTAGTAAAGACGGGAGTAATTAATTCTGATTTAACCCATTAACTGCCAAATTTTTTTAATGCACATTTTTGGCCCAGACAGGTGTCTTATGAGTTAAAACAACATAACAATATTAAAATTTTCTTTGAATAGCTGGTACATTGAAATTTTATAGAAACTAGAAAATCAAATATATATGTGTATAAAACATCAAAAAATAATATTGATTATAAATAATAAAAAAAATACTTTTCAAAGTAGTCATTATTTTTATACTCGTGAAATGTAAAATTACAATAGAAAGTGTCTTCTATGATTAGTTATGGCTAATAATAAAAACTTTAAAGGCTAAGTGTTGTAAAATATACCTCTGCAAATGCAATGTATGTAAGCAATTCAATGTAAATATAAGGAATAACATGTAGTGAGTTTAATTTTAACAGATCCCCAAATGAGGCTCATGGCAGGTAATGGGTTAATCCACTGATTATTTTGACTAATTTATTTTTACACTCTACAGCTACTGGATCTACTCTTGTTGATAATTTTTTGAAGTTCTACTGTCTTTGATAAATGACAAGGTATATTTTACTCTGTAAATGAAAAGAGAAATCCTGTTTGGACTACCTAAATTAATAAAATATTTTTGTCTGTGTGTGTATATATATATTTATATATTTATTTCTTGTAGGTTTATCTACCTACCTGAAAGTGACAAGGTCACCTGAAAATGCTGCTGAGTTACCAGAGTCTGGCTCTCTGCAAAAAGGTCTACCCACCTATTCCAAAGAAGAAATTGCCAATCATGATTCTGTAGGAAAAAAGATTTGGGTCATATATAAAAATGGCGTATATGATGTGACTGATTATATCAACAAGCACCCAGGTGGAAAGAAGATTCTTTTAGCTGCAGGGAAATCAATCGAGCCTTTTTGGGCTATGTATGCAGTTCACAAAAATCCTGAAATTTTAAAAATTTTGGAGCATTATAGAATTGGCAATTATATTCCAAAACCAGAAGATTTGCCCAAAACCAAAGATGCATCTGATCCTTATGCTAATGACCCAAAACGACATCCAATTCTGATCCCATCCTCGGAGACCCCATTTAATGCTGAACCTCCTTTAGAAATTCTTACAGATAATTTTATTACACCAAAAGAAGTATTTTTTGTTAGAAACCATTTACCAGTACCTCAGGTTAACATAGAAAAATATCAGTTAGAAGTGACGGCAAAAAATAGTAAGAAAATCATAAAACTCTCATTTGATGACCTGAAGAAGTTTCCAAAGCATCAAGTTACTTCTGTTGTCCAGTGTGCTGGTAATCGTAGAAGTGAGATGAAGGCAGTCAAGTCAGTGAAAGGATTAAACTGGGGAAACGCAGCTATTGGGAATGCTGTGTGGACAGGGGTCAGACTCATTGATGTATTTGAGCATGCAGGGGTGGACATTAACAACCCTGAATATAAACATGTCCAGTTTGAGGGGCTGGACATTGACCCAACTGGCATGCCCTATGGTGCTTCTATACCAATAGAGTTATTTAATATTATAAAAAATGATGTGATTCTGGCATATGAAATGAATGGGGAACAAATCACAGCTGACCATGGCTACCCACTTCGGGTCATTATTCCTGGAGTGGTTGGAGCTAGACAAGTAAGTAAACCAATTTGTTTATAAATTTGACATTTTTAGGATTTTAATTTTTTTTGAGTAGTTTACTCTTACCATCAAAACATGATGGCAATATTTTTTATATACAGTTACAATTAAAAAATTATATTAATTTATTGGAGAATTTAACATAATTTAAAATAAATAAATCATGATACTTTATTTATGAATTTTAAAATAGTAGAAATTCTGTTTCCATTATGACATCAGCAGTGTCCATAGAGATGGGCAATTTGCCAATCTCTATGCAGTGCATGTGTGACATTTCTTACATCAATGAATGAGTTCACTATAATAATTTTTACTAAAATTTTCCTCATACCAGTGTAAAGATTTGTAATTGTAAATATCTCACCCTTGGCAGTTAGTGTTTCAGACTCATTTGCTATCAATTGATAGACTATCTTTTGCTAATCTAATATTTGGTTTTATTTCCTTCAGAAATGAAATAATGGTTTAACACTAAATGAAAAATTGACTTATATCAGAATATAGGTGGTAATTAGAAATAATCAAATAAATATTAGTTGACATTTTTTTAATGAAATTACTATTATTAATTATTGTTTCTATTACTAATCCTTTCAAAATTAAATATCATTCACCCTACTTTTTTCATTTGTTGCAATTTTCAACAACTTCAATAATGTTATTATTTTGTGAGTCCTTTATATATTATATGTATTTATGAACAAAAGTATTATATACTGGCATGGAACAAACATGCATTATTCTCAGAGATTTTATATACTGCTGTCTTACAAGAAATTATATACAAATACATAAATACTTTTCATTTTAGGTATTTCAACCTGGTGTAATGGCTAGCAAGCTTGTCTCTCTAGAACAGTTACGACTGAGTAGTGAGTTCAATCCTCGTTAGGTGTCCCATACTTTCGGCCTTGTGCTACATCTAAACTACACTTAGAAAATCACCATAAATACTGGTCATTAATTTGTCCTACACAGAAATTATAACATATGAATAAAACTAGCAGAATGGAAAGGCAAAAAGTAAGTGGATCCTACTTGTAATATTTCTTAAAGAGAAAACTGCCAGGCCTTTGGTATGTCTTACAAACTTTGAGGTACTATGTGGGCTCTTCTGTTCTCCCTGTTGCTGTGGGCTGGGCTTGAGATGACATCTAATATATTAGTAGTCTATTGACAGCAATTATTGTTCGTCAGACATGTCTTGTCTCTGTGTGCTAAATAGCAATTCTGCTTTTGTCTCTCCATGAATTTGCGTCACTTACCAGCCATCACATGACCCTGTTGACTTTGTCTTAACTAAAAGAAAATAATTACCCATCACATCCCTACAAATGTATCTTTACAATTTTTTTTGTTTAATAATAACAATTTTTATTTATAATAAATGTACTTTTTATTTTATTTTTTTCTTAGGTAAAATGGTTGAAAAAGGTGTTACTGAGCAATGAAGAAAGTTTAAGTCACTGGCAACGAAGGGACTACAAAGGCTTTAATCCTTCCATTGACTGGCACAATGTTGATTTTGACAAAGCAGAGTCAATTCAACAATACCCAGTCCAATCTGTTATATGTGTTCCTTCTGATGGCAGCTTTATTGATGAAGATGAAACTGAAATTGAATTAGAGGGTTATGCATGGAGTGGGGGTGGTCGAGGTATCATCCGTGTTGATGTGTCAGTTGATGGTGGGAAAACCTGGCAAGATGCAACAATTCATCCCACTGAGCAGTCTTTGTATCATACTTATGCCTGGACCCTGTGGTCTGCAACTGTGCCACTTCCAGCTAACCACAATGGTAAATTAGATGTTGTATGTAAAGCGACTGATGTTTCTTACAATACACAACCAGACAGTGTGGAAGGAATTTGGAACCTTAGAGGGGTACTTAGCAATGCCTGGCATCATATCACTGTAAAAGTCAACCCTGTTTCTGAATGATGAAAATGAATATTTTAGGATTTTCTTTATTTTTTTTTTCTTTTTAAATAAATTTAAAAAATGTTACTTTTTTCATAAAGTTTAATGTTAAATATAGGAATTTGTTTTGTTTTTTTTTCCTTTGAATCCTTCATTAATTTAACCTTTACTTCAAATGTGATAGATTTTCAACATTCAAGGTTTGTGTTTTGATATTTGGTCACTTATCAGTCATGGCAAGGTGAGAAATTCCTTACCTTTTCTTTTTGTTTTTTTTTCTTATCTTTCTTTGGTTAATGAGTAATTGGAAAAAGTCGATTAAATAATGTTAATCACTTTGAATAAATTAGATAAAAATCTGCTATATTGTTTATTTCTAAATAATAATTCATTATAACTAATATCCTCATCTTTTTTGTCCTGCCTTCTTTGAGTGTCTGTTGTATTTAAAAGTGCCAAATCTTGGCTTAAGAATGAGTATGCTTCCCCTCCTATACATGTTACATCTGCTTTGAGCTGTATGCTAGTTAGGTCTCTGATTGGAAGATTGGAGGTTTTAATTTCTATTGTCTCCAGGTCCACACTGACCACTGACTGGGCTGGTAGCACCTGTTAGGGTCCCAGCTATGGGCAAATAGTGAACTCTCAAACAAAAACAAAACAATATGAAAGTATAAAAATACATTTTATAGTAAAAATTACCAGTAATACATTTTTTATTTTTAAAAAAAATTACCAGCAATACATTTTTTTATTTAAAAAAAAAAAAAAAAATTATCAACAATAAATTTTTAAAGCAAAATGGCTACCAGTACATTTTATAATAGAATTACCAACAACACATTTTATAGAAAAATGACCAACAATACATTTTGTCTGTAGTTGACGGCATACAATTGCTTTCAAAATATATCTAGTTGAAATCATATAATCTTTCAAAATATAAATATTATAAGTATATTAAAATATTATAAATATATAAAATATTTGAAAAAATTTAGTTCTCAACATTAAATAACCTACAGAGGTTGATATGGCACTAAACAAAATCAACCAATGAACCCTTTGAACCTTTGGGACTGTCCTTCTCTGATTCTCACACTGAACTTCTGACCTTCAGATGAGCTAGAGATTGCAAAATACAACAGGCAGACACCTAAAGAGAGTTGGAGAATATGGTAGTTGAAATGCAGTTTAAAAGGATGAGGAGGTTAGTCCAAATAAACAAATATACGGTTTTGATACTTAGTCTAGGGAGAAAAAAAAGAAGGCATTTAGAGAAAAATTATTCAGATGATTTGCTATTATTTTGCTGTAAATATTCTTGTCCTTTAATGCTGTCAACCAATCCATCTTAGGCATTGGGTTAACAAACATGTAGCATTGTCACTAGATCCACTGTGATTGAAACTGATGTTTGGCAAATTATGGTTGTTACTTCATAATAGATTGCATAGGTAACGAATTCTCCAAAGTTGCACCATCTCAGTTTCTCAATGAAAGGTAGAAGCCATCTTTGTTCCAGGCAAAAGATTTTCTTATAATAGTAAATAGCACAACCCATGTATTAGGCAAATTTTATTGTCTCCAGAAGGGAAATGTTGCTGACTACTTGTCAACAATAGAGAGAGCACAATGTGTAAGAGAGCTTCTCTTCCAGCATTTTTTGTTTTGAAAGGCAGGCTGGGAGTCATCTACTTGCTACCAAGAAAAAAACGTCACTAAAAAAAAAAACCTTGACTATAGGAAGTCCATTTTATCACCATCCATTTTATAACTCATTGCTGATTAGTCAGTTCAGAGATCAGTGAAAAGACCTTGCTACATCCCCAACCTTTTTTTATCTTGTGGAACTTGTAACCATCAATTGACCCTATCCAATATATTGTATTTCAGAAATATGTATTTTCAACAACCTATGTGGCTGTTTATTAATTAGGTAATGTTTGTTTTTTTCCTTATCCTTTTCTCCTTTATTCTCCACTCAGAATGTTATACTGACTGGGCACTGAAACTGCAGTAGCATCACTTGTTATGGTTGCAGCCCTGTGCTTTGCAAAAAGACAACTATCATTTTATAATTTATAATATTTTAAAGGTAATTTAATACTATTTTGATTGTAGTTTTGGGTCATAGTTTGCCATTTTGGTCAGCCTTTGCATTCTATAACAAGAGTTGTTTGCTATTGTTCGTCATCATTGACTTTGGTTTCTGTCTATCAGTGTGATATACAAACAAAAAAGATTGTGTAAAAATCAAATGAAAAGGGTTATGGCTTTTGTTTTTTAATCAAATATAAGAAGTTATTATGGTAATGATCATGCCATAAACCAATCATGAATTCAAAAGAATTTTAAAAAAAATCTATATTTCATCTTTAGTGACAGTTCATTTGTTTCTTCAGTTAGCTCATTTTGCATGGGTGTGGTCACCATTCTCTCTATTTCTGTTGTAATTGTCGTCCATGGTGACATTCAAGGCAAGATAGTGCAATCGCTTGCTGGTTACTTTTGCGCTGGTAATCTTGAGGTTTCTCCATCTCTCCTCTCAGAAGTTCCTCCATCCACTGGTAAAATCATTGACCTCTGAGGTGCAGCTCCTACTCCCAGGCTGGCAACTGGCCAAAGGCCACTTGGCACAAGTGGTTTGGAGAGAGGTGTTCCTCTTCACCAATCGGGTCCATTATATAACTTCACACAGTATAATCAGCAGGTTGTTGTTGTTGTTGTTGATCGAGGTGTGGCTATTGCAGTGCCCATATGTCTTCTTGAAGCCATGTGTGAGAATCAGATGTAGGCTGTCAGCAAGTAAAGTTCTGCATCCCAATTCACCTGAGTAAAGCAGGGTTGATCACTTCTCCATAAAGGTACTATCATTGATGATACACCCCAAGGTTTGTTACTTATCAAATTTTAACTTTTGCAATAGTTGATTCCATAAGTGATAAAATGGACATCAAAATTGATACATGAAAATAAATTTATTATTTATTTATTTATTTATTTTATTTTATCCCTTGACTGCTTCACTCATGAGGAGGGGCACCTTAGGGCAGAAAAAACAGATTTTGATTCTTCTTTCTTGTGATCCTTTCAGATAGCAGTGGATTTCATCAAAGTTTTACTCATCATTATATCTTTGTTGGGTAGGGAAAGCTTGATTCTTGCACAAAAACGTTTTTCCAAAATTTGAGCCCAGTTTAAATTCTGACTATTACACTTACATTTTACACTTAATTACTCTTTATCACATTTGAAGTTCAAAGGCCTGCAATTATACTTTCTGGTAATCCTGGGAGATTTTTTAAAAAATTTTTATTATATTGCAAGTATTCATGTTAACACAAGACATCTAATGGTTATTGCTGGGTCTTGAGTGACTTCAAAACTCCAGCACTTTCTTTTAGTATCCTCATAGACCTTCAGAAACTGCCAAGGTCAAGACAGTCTTAATTCTTCTGCAAATTTTTAATACATCCCACATTTGTTTATGGCATGATTCTAAATGTAACAACTAAAATGAACATAGGCCTAACCTTCATATTCTACAGCTTTCTTAGTTCCCAGTCAATGACCATTTTTTTAATTATATATTTCTCTTGAACTTGTCTTCTTCCACAGCTACCTCGCCAATTTGGTAGATTTTTTTTTCTTCCTTTGTTTACAACTATCAGATCTATTCTTGCTTGGATAAGGACAAGGTTTGTCTGAATGTCAAATTTCAGTTTTTCTTCTTTTCTTTTTCTTTCTTTCTCTTTTCTTTCCTTTCCTCTCTCTTTCTTTTTCTCTTTTAGGGCAAATTCTGGTTTGTGTTGACACAGTTTATTTACATGATCAAATCCAAATTTATCTGCAGGAGTTCAAGTGTATTCGTCTTAAACCAAATTTCTGCTTAATTTTCAAACATATTTGGGAGGAGAAAAAAATTTCCCACTCTCTTCCTCCAAATCTATTCATAACTTTTCAATAGCAGCGATGATGTACAATATGGATGCATTTTTAATTTTTAGTTGTTACCATGGGCTTTCACTGAAATGTAAACATCAAAGAATTTCTTTGACGTTTTGGTTATTTTTAATAAATAAATATTTCTGATAACATTTGTTGCGATCATTGTGTTTTCCTTCTGGATGATATTACATCTTATCAAATAAACTTTTCATTGTTTTGACTTTTCATCAGAGCACATTTTCAATATCTGACTTTAACAGGCTTGTTAGAAATTTTTCAAAATTTGCAAAGCTTATATGTTCCACTAATAAACAAAATGTCTATCTTAACTAAAATAAATAATTAGAAATATCCTCATAGACCTGCATGAAATAAACAGACACACAAAATTTGAAAAGAATTTTCTTAAGAAAATATTTTAAAATTATATAGTTATTTGAATTTTTTTCAACACACTGATATATGTTGGAATCCTCACAGTATTTAGTATTGTTGCTAACATTTTTGTCAAGTTTTACAAACTCTTCATTTTTGGTCAATTTCACAAACCAATCAATGAAATTTAAATAAGCTGATTTGTTTGGAAAATACTTTGACAAAAACCCTATTTCACTGTTTAATAACTTAATTTTATAGAACTTCAAATTTCTTTTTTTCCTTTTTAACAGCAAAGAATAAATTCATAGGATTTCTTACTCTTGAGCATGCAACATAGAACTAGACATACATAAATATTTCTTTCTGGAGCCAAATTCCAATTTTTTGAAGTGTTTGAGCCTGTTATTTGTTTTGCAGGGCGAACTGGATTCTTCTATATAAATAAAACTTAAAGAAAAGATATGCAAAAAACAATATTGCATTTTTATTAAATAAGTATTTGTTATTTTAATCATTAAATTGTTTTTAAAATAGTTGCAGTCTTATGTATATTAAATAAAAATTTAATTTTTCCAAAAACATTAATGAAAATTTATTGTATAATGCAATGCCCCATGGTAAAATCAATTGTACTTTGTGATCACCTTGCCTGTTTGCTCTTCTCCCTAAAATTTGGTTTTGATTGATCAAGATATAGCTATTTTAGAGGGTGTGATGGATAGACTAACAGAAGTCAGAGAATTTTATATATAGATAGATAAGTCTGTTTTATAAATAAGATTAAAAATATATTAACAAAAATTGTTTATTTACATTGTTCAGACTTGTCCTCATCTATATTACAGTGGTTGAAACATTGTGAATACAATATGTTCTAGCCTTCAGGTGGATAAAAGCATTGGGTGAGTGATCCAAAAAGTGACTTGACCCAAAGATTTGAGTTCAATACCTGGCCACAGCAGAGGGGAAAAAACTTGGAGAATTGAGTTACTAATGGCAATTAAATGAAACTGAGATATCCAAGGGCATGGAACGTGGAATTAGAACAATCTATCCTCGTGGTCTAAATAAAAGGTTCAATTTGAAATTCCAACATGTATCACCAGAAGAAAGCCGGAGTGTAAAACAGTCAAATTTCATGAATATGGCAATAATGATGAGGACAACAGTTTGAACAATGTAAATAGTTACAATACCTTATCTTAGAAATATAGACAGATATTGAAAAATTGTTTTTGGAAAAGAAAAATAGAACAATATTAGTTCCAATCTATACTGGAATTATTATTTTTATTAAAATAACAATTTTGGCTCAAGTTTAAATGTCTCTTCTTTTTTTTTTCATTCTTTTTTCTTATAAAAAATATATTAAAAAAATCTAATGATCATAAAATGAGGGTGGGGGGGATGATCCCAGAAAACAAACTATAACAAAACATTCAAACTAAACATAACAGTCCACCCCACAAAAATAAGATTGGCTGCTGTATTCTGCCGATAGGTATAATCAAGAAGCTCACTGACTAATGGCGAGGAAAGAATAAAAAAAAATAAATGATGGGGTGGGAAAATTAAAGACTGACCCAGCCGAGATGAAAAAGGGGAGCTAAAAACAAATTGAGGAGGTTGGGAATCTCGACATGAACAATAACAAGAGAAAATGCCGGGAACAGGCGGGGAACAACACTTCTCATATTAAATATGTAAAAAAAAGAGTATCCCGAGCAGGGTTCAACATGAAACCGCCCCGTTTCGTTAACGGGGATTTAAAAAAAAGAAAATCAACACTGGCCTCATTCACTCGAACCAAGCTCGCCACTTTCACCGACCTTTCGCTGAAATATGTCAATAACAAACGTTTTCTATCAGTTCTGATCCTTATTTTGAGCTGATACCCAAAGAATCCGACCAGATTCTGATGAAAATAGCGTTCGTATTACAAGATTCCCTCCACTATTTACATTATTGTTGCCATATTTATTACAACATTTCGGCCTTTGTACGCTCCGTCCTTCTTCAGGTGGTTGGAATGTCGAACTGAACCTTTTATTTAGCTCACGGGGGTAGACTGTTCTAGTTCCATGTGCCATGTTTAATGGATGTCACCTGTCAGTTATCTCCTGTTAATTCCCCTCTCCAAGTTCTCCACTGCCTTAACCAAGTATTGAACTCACACACTTTGAGTCCTGTCACTGGATCTAACTAACGTCTTTATCCACAGTGGTGTAATAAATATGGCGACAAAGATGAGGACAATAATCCGAATAATGTCAATAGTGTACATAATACCTCATCTCAGAAATATAGACAGATACTGAAGATTCCCTCCATTCGAGACATCCATACCACTATTCATGCTACAGCAAGCAACGTCAGAAACACCATTCGTTTCACACCAGAATACAGAGGCGTCACGTTATCACACGTGTATGCAAAATCGATGGACACGACATGTTCGGGATTGATATAGTCCCAGAACGGACGCACCCGAGGACAATGGTAGAAGGCACGCGAAGCCATTTCCTCTGAACCAAGGTCACACCGATGACAGTCGCTCAAATCCGCCCAGCCCCCTCTGAAGGCTACGTCATTGAGAGACAGAACGTTCCGAATCAATTGCCAGGTAAGCGAAAACTAAGGGTTGCTGAGGTAATCAGCCGCTGGCACCCAAGACCAGAAAGAGCGCAACTCAGTCGCCGAGAAGCCGAGCTGCCCACAGAGTGGATTCTTCGCGACCCCTTTCACTAATTCTTGATACAAGACTCTGCTAGGCTGTAAAAGGTCACTGAACCAAGGAATGATCTTCAAGGCCGCTTGACATTCTTTGAGGAATCTCAACTGATACTGGGTCTTACGACGGCGTCCAGCTCTAAAAACGGGAGGAGTAATGCTAGGGAAAGCGTCCCTGACACTCTCCTCCAAGATCGAGTCCTCTGTCAATGGCATAGGAAAGCCAACCTCGAGGCGTGTCGATGACCTGATACTTGCGACCACCCCCAAAGAGAGAGAAGAGCAAGCGCCTTCTCACGGTTTTTTGCAGAGTGAATACAGACAACCAGTAAAATACGAGGAAAGACTACCCTTCATGGACAACTGCCTTCGGAGCCAAGTCCAGACCGCCGCTCCGACCTTTGCCTGTACTGCCGACCAATTCTTCTTCAACTGGAGCCCAAGCCCGAACCACACTCCATGAATGCGGACAGTTCCGTCAGTTCAACTAAAAGTTTTCAGAAGTGCAACCTCCTTCCAGGTACCTAACCGCAAGTCGGAAGACGTTGCGGTTAATCTTGGCCCCTGTGATATTCTCGTACCGTTCAAGCGCCTGTACCACCTCAATGTCGTTTTGAAAAATGGATACGTCATCGACTCAAGCACCTCTAGGGCCGGACTGCATGCCCTGTACCTTAGCCGGCGAAGGAGGAACTCCAACACCAAAGCATAAATTAGGAGTGACAGCGGACAACCCTGACAAACCGAACATGACAGCGCAAAAGCGCGCGGCCGCTTTCCATTCACCTGTACCACAGCACTGGGGGAATGGTATAGGAGGCTGATCCACTTGCAGAAGTCAGGTTTGAATCCGGCGGCCTGCAGGACAACAGCCAGGTACCGATGGTCGACCTTATCGAACGTCTTGGACTGATCCAAACTGATCAGCACAGCTTACTCGCCATATTTTACACTCTCTAGAACCGTGCAGATTAGATGCGGGTTACTCTGAATTGTTCGTCCCTTCACAGTATGTCGGTTCGTATCCCAACAGAATCTTGACAACTGTCTGCAAATGCTCCGTCAGGATCATGGCGCAAATCTTTAACTCTGTGTTTAGCATGGGTCTCTGTGTTTAGTTATGGGTCTCTAATCTTCTAAATCTTGCTCACCATCCTTACTCCTTTTCAACAGTGTGATCGCACCACTAGAGATCTTGTCGGAAACGGACGGACCCCTGCAGCAACCAATTGTTGAATACGACAAAATCGAATCCATATTGGAATGATTGCAAAAAATATCCACCTCCTAAAATTTATAGATAAAACATACAGATGCATGCTGGGATTTCTTCCTAGCCAATAAAGATGGCCAATTTTCTGCCTTAACTACATATTCTTTTTGTCTTGGAGTCATAAGGCTGTAACCACTTGACTGTATCCCTTCTACAAATGAACACTACTTCTATTTTGTAAACTTCTTTGTTACTTTCTTTGCCTTGTATTACATTGTCTTGTCGCCTATTATTTTGCCCTGTTTTTCTTCCTCTTATTGTTATTGAGGATTTTGTCAATTTTGCTGCACTATGCCTGCTTCCTAAACACTTATTATTTACTTATCTTAATCTATTAACATAAAATCAAATGGGTATAAAGTTATGTATCAGTCTTTTAAGCAGGAAGACACTGCCTTGGAAATCAGCACCCAAAACATTTTTCTGGACTCCAATACTGATCATTGAATGAGTCGGAAATATACACCTTGCAGGTGACAATTTCTGTCGCTATTTTGGATAAATTTCATCTATATAATCAATCTCTAAGTAGTAACAGCATTTCCAGATTGATCTAAAAAGTAGTGAACTGGACTACGTTTGAAAGCTCAGTGCTATTAAATTTTGAATTTATTTTTTTCTCATTAGTAACCCAAGTT